GTTTGTAATAAAAAAGTAACAGCAGGGGGTTTCCTAATAACTGGTCAAACTTTAAGGGGTTTCAAGTTTCATAATAGTTATCCTTTTGTTATTTATACGATAAGTAGTTCCTTGCAGGTCAAGTTTCTGAGGGTATGCCATGATATGCCCAAGCAAAAGCATGGTTGACTTTGTATAGGGATTAATGTTGCATGAGAATATAACATGGAACTATTCCAGTTGGCCATGTTGAGAAGTGAGGGAAAGGAATCTTTGTGAAAAATGGATGCTGGAAAATTGCTGTCCTGTAGGTGCTGTATGCAATGTGTAAATGCTCTGTTATATACAAATGGTTAGCATTTGTATTTGGAAATATTTCTCATTAAAGGTTGATAGTTTAGTTAAAGATACCCTGTTGATAAGATTAATTTATATGTTTTTCGAGCGTCCTTGAAGTATCTTAAACTGTCCAGAGAGTGTTTGCATTTTCGAAAGGTTTAAGAAAATTGAACTATGAAAATGCAAGTGATGCCATTTTTTAGTGGGTTGATCTTGTATGTGGGAGGTGGAGTAAAAGAGGCATAATTTGATTGCGCTGTGTATATATCGGTGAGTCTAGGGGTTCAACATGAACTAAATGAGCCAAGATCCAATGTTCGTATATTTGTTCAGTTATTACATGAGCTTAGGTTTTGTTCAAGCTCGTCTCATTAGGTAACTGAGGTTGCCAATTCATTTATAATATTGCGTGTGTTATTTCTATCTGATGAATATTTAGCAGTATTATGGCGGTGAGAGCAAGTGAGACTTTCTTGTACTGTATGCCTTTTGTAGTCTTCGTTATGGTCTGCCTGATTGGTCGATGTTCTATAGCAACATACACAGTGGAAACTTGCATCTTATTGGAGAAATTTCACCCCTCTTATAAATGTGAAGAGTCTTACCTAGATAAAAGTTGTCATGACATAACTTTGGCTGTGATATTCAAAAGAATTTCCCTGCTTAAATTGGCATGTCCATTTGTTTCTATCTTACCAAATTGATTGCTTTAGTTTCTTGATATGCAATATTTCATGGATATCATGATCCAATTTGTAGTGTAGACTGCTTTTACTTCTTTAGGATAAGATTCAATCATGTTCTAGAATGTGGTGCTTTCCTCCAGGTTTTGCAAGCTGGTACGATATGTGGCTTCCATGTTTTCTCAGGATGTGTTTGGCAACTTCAAAATAGAATTGGGCTAGACTAGTTTTATCTTAAATAGACCAAAGTTGAATCATACAAGGGTTGGTCCACAAAAAACCTTTTAGGGGCTAGTTTTTGAACTAGGGAAAACTAGTTCAATTTGGTCAACTTTTGCCAAACTACAAATAATGTATTGAACCAAGGTTGTACCATCTGAAACAAGTTTGTGAAGTTGCTAAACACACCCTATGAAGAGACAACCTATGAGTTCTTCGCTTCTTTCTTTCATTATATTTCCATCGGTTTCTTACTGTTATCCATATATCTCCCGTAGTGTTCCCCACAAATTTTTTCTTGCATAGTTTCTCCAATTTCCAATTTTCATTTCAGTTTTCGATTTTGACTTCACAAACTGGCAGTTTCTCCAATTTCCAATTTTTCTTGCATAGTGCCGACTATTATTTTAGATTTTTTAGGTTATCCTGGAAGATTTTCACTCAAGATCTTGATCTATTTCCACACAGGATGATTATCCTCTATCCATCTGAAAAGCTATGAAAAGGCTTTTCTTTCACAAAAAAAAAAAAAAAATGTATATGTTCTCTCCAAACTTACATTCTCTCCCTGATGGAACTGACAAATAGCTTAGGAAGTATCTTGCGATGACAATGTTTTGCTAATATAGCTCAGTTTTCTATCTCTCTCATGTCTGAAGGAATTTTACAGATTCAGACAAAAGGGAGTCTGGGTTCTAATAGAAATTTCTTCTCTCCAATATTTATATTCTCTCCGAACTTATATTCTCTCCCTGAAGAAACTGACAAAGAGCTTAAGAAGCATCTTGCGATGACAATGTTTTGCTAATATAGCTCAGTTTTCGGTATCTCTTGTGTCTGTAGGAATTTTGCAGATTCAAACCAAAAGGGGAGTCTGGGTTCTATTAGAAATCAACTAGAAGTTATTTTTGAAAGGAAAACAAGGAATTAAAAAAAGGATTTTTTTTTTACCTTGTAGGTTTTTTTTGTATCCAAATGGTTAGTTCCCTCTTCCACCTTTTCTTACGTAAATTCTATTGATATGGTATCTTCTATTTTTGCCTTCAGCTTCTGCATACTAGTTTAGGGCACATAATAAAAAATTTGGATGCAAGGTACCAACACTTAGTATATGATCTTAGAATTCAATTTGACTATGGTGTTGTGTCTTGTGAAACATGATGTATAACATTCATTTAAGTGCATAAAGGGTGATGTAAAGTTGGCTTATAATGAAGTTCATTTGTGTAAATGTGTAGCTTCTAATGCTTGAAAATTTATGTGTGTATGGCGTACTATGTATAGGGGTCATATAAATCTTTTTCTCCCTGTGTCTGTCTTTGTAGAGGGCTTTATAATTTTTTCTCTTACATACGAGTGCATACTGCAACTAGCTTCCTTAAAGTGGGCTTCAAGATTCATATATAGAATAGATGTTGTGGTTGCCTGTTAAGCCTGCACGATCTTGACTATAAGACACTACTAGTTTTCCTAGCAGCATATTTGAGTTTTATTTAAACCATAATTTTGTCCCTCTGAAGTGCATAATTCACACCCTGTTGAAGTATATTTAACTTAGAATTAATGCATTAGAAACTTTGTAGCTCAAAATAATTATCCTCTCTAAAAGCAATATATCTATTTATTTCATGATAGTTTATCTTTAAAAAGAAAGAATTTCTAATATTTTCCTAGTATTATTCTTGGTGTGGCCTGTGTATATGAATGATTCAAACTTTCTAGTTTTCCTTTATTTACATGGAGAATCAAACTATTTTTACAACTATCCTTACCTCAATCCAAATTTTATGTATTTCTGCAAGTATCAATTGAAATTATTCCATGGTGACACTTTATTTTTATTCGATGTATCACGGTTCATAGTTTGTTTCATATCAACAATCTTAGCTGATATCTATTGTTTATCTAATTGGACCTGAATAACCAAACTTACATTATCATCAATGTTTGAGTTCATAATTGCGATTATTGTACATATTGTCATATTAAATGTTTATTAGGCTTTTTATTTTTTTGGTTCGGAAAGGGTAGGTTTCTAGGTCCATTGACTATAAATGCTTATTATGTCTACATTGTAGGATTAGGTTACGGATTTTCAGTTAACGTAGCAATCTTATGTTGAATAAATCATCAATACTAACCAAATCCGTCACCTTAAGTGTTCTTGCTTTTCACAGTGGCAACTCAACTAACCTGACAATTGCCTTGCCAAACTAGCTGCATACCCGACTGACTACAGAACGTGTTTGCACCTAAGGTGGAGAATGTGCGCAGAAAAAATCACATGAAAGCATAGGCAGAAGCAAGTATACTGTCACACATACAAGCGCATAACAGAAATAATGAAAGGGGTACAGAAGAGGAAAATAATAGTTTTCATAGTACTCCATGTCTTTCCCCCTAGTCAGAACGGTGTCAGTTAAGGGACCCGTCTCAAATGTGCCACTTCTTTGCTTGTGTCAGCCGAATATCAAATTGGCTAGGCCTGTTAGTATCAGATGGGGTGTGCGTGAGAAACTGACTAAATTGTGATGATAGGCTCATGTCACCAAGTATCAGATGGGGTGTCCTTTAATCCTTTTGGTGTAGGGGGACAAATGAAAAAAAGGTAGAAATACTTAAAAATGATGAGACATTCCAAGGAGGGCCCTCCATAAAATGTTGTTTTCTGTCTAAAAATGTGCTAACTTCCAAGGTTTAAAATCTTGGTATTGGCCTTGGTTTTCGTTCCCTTTTATTGTTATCTTCTGTGGTCTTCGTATGTTATCGTCTTTGATGGCCTTGGTATGTTTCAATTGGAAGTACCAATACGTCAAAAAAGTCAATTTAATCATAGGTTCATGTCAACTGATTATATTTTTTTGTTGGCAGAGATAAAATCAAATTTTGGTATTTCAAGCTTGAAACCCCATTATGTACTTGTAATTATTATCAAATACTGATCTGTATTGGTCATAACTAGCCAATGCCGTCACTATTTGCCAGCTTCAGTTGGATCAAATTAGCCGTGCTATAATCCTTTACAAGATTGCCATTATTTTGCGCCTTGCTAACAATCCTTTATTGACAGTTTGAGCTGTACAGTAACTACAGTTTCATCTTTCATGAAATTATTTGACATCATCTTCCTTTGTTGTCTTTATTGCTTGAATTGAAATATATTTTGTTATTTGTTTGAGGTGTTGCTGTGAACATCCATCTAAATTGGTGGGAATATAGTTTGGTTTTCATTACTTATGTCATTTGGATGAGATTCCTTTTTTGTTTCCTTACCATTAGCAGTTGTGGTCTTTTTTCTGTTCGCACTTCTGAGTGCTGTTCTCATCAAGCCTTACTTAAGTTCAAAATTTTCGTTGCTGACAGATTCAGATTCGGGTAGCTCCTCTGGAAGTGACTCAGAAGATAAAGGTGCTACTCCTGGAAAAACTACTAAGGTATATCTATACATTAAGCTTAATAACATGTCATCTTTTGTTTTGACATCAACTGCTTTTTATAACCCCTAAAATTGCTATTTCTGTTAGAAGCTTTATCTAAACATTATTCAGTGTAAATTACATTATGGATGTCCAATGCTTTAGCATTTTGCACTTGGCATACCCTATTTCTATTTGACAAATGAAACCCGAGTCTGAAAGCAGATAGAAGTTAATGAAATAGGTAGAAGAAGATGACTTTGCCCCCAAGAAAACCAGAAGTACAATTTTCATCGTAGGTGCATGAAGCTTTCTCTGATGCTTATATAGAATACCTCATTTCTAGCTTTATCTTTCTGTTCAAAAGTACAGAAGTACAGCTTTCACTTAGGTGCCTAAAGTTATCTCTTTTGACACTTTTGAGTACCTCATCCCCAGCCTCCCCCGTCCTCGTCTTCCTCCTCCTCTTCTTCGACATGGTTTGGCAGGGTGTATGAAGAGGGAAAATGAGGCGAGGGAAGGTGCAATTAGATGCAAGGAACCATATGCATTTGTGTTTATTGTTTGGTAGGAAGGGAGGAGAGAGAAAACACATCACTTTTGTAGTTCATTTTCTCTCAGTTTTTGAGTCTCCACAATTTGGAATAATTCTTCTCTCTCCTCATTTCTAGTAGATTTTAAATTGTCCCTACTCCACTCACCTAAGTTTGTCTAATGCTCCTCTCTAACTAACATCCTCCCCATTATTTGTGTCTAGTGTGTTCTTGATCTATAATTCTCCTCTATCTAGATTCCTTCTCTCTGACTGTATATCTAGCTCTCCTTCTCTCTTCATTCTAATTTACACCTCGCTCTCTTCACTAATACCTCTCTAGCACTCCTTAACTAACTCTTTCTAGAACTCCACTGAGTAACTCTCTTCTGGTGAAAGTTAGTGAAAGGGGTGTTAAAATAGAATGTTGTAGCGAAAGAAATTTTTGAGAGAAAAGTTGGAAAAGGAAAATGTTAAGAGAAGGAAAGTTGGATATAAGGAGTTGTTAGAGGAGGGGGAGAGTTGGAGATGCAAGTCGTAGAGTGAGAAAAATGGTTAAACGGACTTCTGGTGTGCAAGTTTTTATAAGTTATAAAAAAGAATTTCTTTCCTTATAAAATAACTCACGTGTGAAGCAAGTTATATTTTAGTGGAGAAACCAACCCCTAGGGGTGTTTAAATCCAATATTTAACGAATAGTTTGTTAGTTATTCCTATAAATATTCGGTTATATTTGATTCGGTGTTTCATTTAACAATAAACAAGTACATTTCAATACACAGTTCACAAACAAATATAATTTAACTATAGTATATAGTTGATTCGTCTGAATATTAAATATTCATTTATTAATATTTTTAATTAAGTTAATTTATTAAAGGGTCAATTAGTTATTTTTATAAATTTTAATTAGTTATGATAGTATTCCAATTAGAAACCTGTGAAGTTGAGGGGTTAGATTGAATGTGGGAAATAATTTGGAGTGCGAATTTTATAATGTGGAGGGTGTATACGGAAAAGTCCTTAGAAAAGGAGAGTGGAAAATAATGGAATACCTAGCCTGCTATTCAAACCCACAATCTACAATTAATGAAAAAAACACATTATCATATGTGCTCAAGAGTATTTGCAAATGGTTAGTGAACTGATAAATAATTAACTGAATCAAATTTGAATACTATCTCGATATTCAAATCATATCAAAATTGACAAATTGGACCGAGTTGAATATTTTACTATTTGATTCGGTTCTCTTTGTTTCCACCCCAACCAACAGCCGCATTTTTTCTATGTAACAAGATGCTAGGTACCTATCTATTTAGGAGATGCAAAAAACAATTTTTTTGAAATAGATCAAGTTTAACATTTAATTTACAAAATAGACCAAAAACTATTTAATTAGCGACCAACTTTTACCCATACGGTTGAAAATTGGTTTATTTTGCTAATTAAATATGGAAACTTGTATAAATTTCAAAACTTATCCAAACTATTTTGTTAAAAAAACTTATAAATATGATTACAGATGTAACTTGTGAAAAAATAAATTTTAATGCAATTATAATTGTTCTAATTAACTGTAAAAGTAAATTATTTTTTTGAAAAAAAGGACTGGGAGTTAGTTTAGTTGTATAGTGTTCTTCTAGAAGTATTCTGTTTTGTAATTGTAGTTAGCAAGTCTATAGTATATAACAAAATAATTCCTACATTTTTATTGTATATTGAAATTATAACTACAGCTAATTTGTTCAATACAGATAAGCGTAACTGACCTTAATTTCAAAATAACAAAAAAAAAAAAAACAGGAAAAACAAAAGTGTAAACCAAGATTTTTATTTTTTTATTTTTTTAAATTTTATTTTATTTATTTATTTTTCTTTGTTCCCATGGCGAGGTGAAATATGTAGTTAGTAAATCAAGAGGGTGTATCTATATATAATAAACACTAGAGAAGTTATTAATAAAAAATTAAAAATGAACCAAGTTTAATCAGCAAAATAGACCAAAAAAATATTTAATTAGCAAAATAGACCAACTTTTCAGTCATGTGGCTCAAAATTGGTCTATTTTGCCTATTAAATATTTTTTGGGTCTATTTTGGTAATTAAATTCCAAATTTGGTCTGTTTCAAAAAGTAAAAGTTATCCGAGATGCAAATTGTCAAAACCTAGGCACACGGAATGTAAGCACAAAACGATGCTCTTTTTGCAATCCTGATTCTACACTTGTATCTGTTTTCTGTTCACTGTTAATTTTGTTTTTACAAATCCTTGATACTGAAGGCAAGTAGAACACTAAAGCTATTGGGAGTACAAAACATTGTGAATTTTGGAGTCTAGGACTGTTTTTCACTGGCTACATTATGTCTATGCAAAAATGCAAGTGGACCTGTGTGAATGACTGCCTGAAAAGGAGTATTATACCGAAATTTTCTGAATATGATCATAGAATGAAGATGAATATTGTAGGTACATAATTCCTAATTGTTTAATGAATCGAACTATTTTGAGATTTCATGTTTGCTTTTCAATGCATTAGAATTTTGACAATAATTAACATGCTAATAAAACTGTATAAATATGGCCTAGGACAATTCTTTCTTTAACGGAATTTTTGGTGTAACGAAATTGTTTACCTTGTTTTTATAGGCAAATAAAAGACCTGAGACAGTTCAGGACCAAGATAAGAGTGATATCATGAATCCAATTGACGCAAAAAGTGAGTCCCTCAGTTCATTTTCTTTTACTCTTTTACTATAGTACCTTGTCGATCCTTTGTTTCTTTGTTTCTGAATAAGGTGTTATATATTTGTACCATTGTACAGGATCTGTTAGTGGGTTGGATCTATCACACCAAGATGCTCATCCTAACCCTATGTCTTCTGAGGCAGATGGGCCTCAAGATGGTAAGCATGAGTTTCTGAGAAGAGAACTGTGAGTGAGACCGATGAGGTCTTAAGCGTTAATTTGCACGGATCAGCTTATCTTTTCGCTATGAAATTTTAGGGGAGAATGCTCCACCTGAGAGACAAGTCTCCCCAGAAAAGCTCTATCGAGCAGCTTTGTTGAGGAGCCGGTTTGCCGATACAATTCTTAAAGCCCAAGAGAAGACTCTTGTCCAGGTTGGTTGTTATCATTTTTAACGTTTGTTTTGTTTGCTTATTTTTTATTTCTAGCCAATATTTGGTTTCTGACATGGTTTAATCTTTTATGAGATAAGGGTGAAAAAGGGGATCCTGAGAGGCTTCGGCAGGAGCGGGAGGAACTTGAAAGAAAGCAGAGAGAAGGTATCAAACTTTATTCCTTATTAAAAGCCTTCTTTTGTTGGCTGTCACGGAAGCCTTTTCAAATAATAATGATTAAAAAAAGGCATGACATGGTTGTTAGGTATATATGCAAACTTGAATTGTCTATGTAGTCCAAAATCAACTTGACCAATCGAGTATGTCTGTTACAGTGATTTGGAACTGAGGGTGACATGGTTGTGGCTTGAGATTTTTCATATCAAGTATTACCCTTGAATTGGAGAACTTACACATAATCACTTAGGACTGCAGAAAGTTGTATTTTAGTAGTGCCTCAAAAGATTCCTAAAGATGTTGTGTTTGACATGTCAGGAAATTTACAGGTAGATTTAAAAAAAAAAAAAAAAACCCCACACCAAACAAAAACAAATAAATAAATAACATAAAAAATAAAAAAGGAAGAAAAGAAAATACAAAGAAAGAAACTCGGTGGTGTTGTGCAAACCCTCTTAAACTTTACAAATTAGACAAGAAACCCTTATGAAAATAGCATGACTGACAGCTCATGGTAGAAGTGTCCATGTCACATAACTGACGGGCTATTAGTTTGTCATGCATGTTCTGCATAATTCCCCCCTACAACTCAATATATCTGCCATATTACCCTCTTCCACTCTTGTATCCTCAATGTTAGTTTAGTCCTGTTGCCCTTCACATTAATATCATTTATGCCTAGCTCGTGGTGGATTGCATAATTTCTACAATTCGGGGGGGGGGGGGGGGGGGTCTCTAATTTTTATAAAGTTTCTTGGGTTTTTTTGGGGTGCTCGGGTGGGGGGTGTTAAATTAAACAAGGATCTTGGTAACTCTGATTGTTGTTTTTATTTCAGTCTTTTATTTGCTGTGAAAGCAGAGAAAGCACGGCTGCAGGCATAAGCTAAAGCTGCAGAGGCTGCCCGTAAGCGTGCAGAGGCAGAAGCTGCAGCGGAAGCTAAGCGCAAACGTGAACTAGAGAGAGAAGCCGCCCGGCAGGCATTGCTCAAGGCAAGACTTTATTTATAGTTTTCTATATTTTATTTTATTCAGTAACTTGCAGTGATATATAGTTTTCCACCATTGTACGGGGAAAAATAGTTGGCTACTATCTTGACTTTTTTTTTTTTTTTTGTAACTTGTAGATAGAGAAAACTGTGGAAATCAACGAAAACTGCTTGATCCTTAAAGACCTAGAAATGCTTGGAACTGTTCCAGGTGAGCATATACCTAGTTCTGTTGACGAGACAAGCCCAGATCTCTCTCAAGATGGCTTAGGGAGTTTCAAACTCGGGGGAAGTAACCCTTTAGAGCAACTCGGGTTGTACATGAAAGATGATGATGAAGAGGAGGAAGAGATTGCCGAGGTGAAGCCAGTTCGTCCTGCAATTAATGACATCGAAGAAGGAGAGATTGATTGATGCATTTCCCTGCTCTTTTGTACATTTTCTAAGTAGAGCACTGTTGAATGCATAGGTGGTAATTTTATTTTATTTTCTTGTTCTTTGTTTTTCCGGCTGTGGTAAGAAGGCAGCCTTCAATTTTGGAAGTTAAAAGCAGAAAGTTTCATCCACCTAAGGAGAACATGTACGACGAGCGAATACTTAAACCGAAGAACAATTTGTTTTATGTCAGAACAATTTGTGTATGTGTATTCACCTGAGTATCTGAGCAAAAGGAAACATGTTCAAAGCTTTATGTGATCAAGTATGAGCATATGGAATATAATTTATAGTGTTTAGTTTGTGCTTCTTTCAGTGTAAAAAAGAAAGCAGATGTTGTCTAGGACAAATTTCTCATGTTTCTCTCTTCTGAGAATTTGTTAGGTCCGCAATCCATGTAGTGGGTTGTGTTCTTTCAAACATATAGGTTTGCTCAGTGGAGCTGTACATGATATTTAGTCGGATGAAGGTTGTGTTGAATTTTTGTGCACCATTGTTTGCCTGTGTTGGTGGATTTCTTTTGTGCTTTTTGACCATCCTGTCTGAATCCTATCAAGCGAGCAGGGGTTGATCGCGGATAGATATAGTTAGGGGTGCTAAACCGTATCCGTATCCGATGAAATATCCGTAACTGTATCCGTTAGGATACGAATATGGTTACTCAAATCTATAACCGATAGGATATGGTTATGGATATGGTTTTGTAGTGAAATATCCGTATCCGTATCCGAAATATCCGAATACATATTAGTCATACTCTTACGATAGTTTCGATTCTTAGATTATGGATTTGTGGTTAATTTTGATGATCAAGATGACTAATCTTAACTATTTAGTTATAATGGACATATTAACGAACTTTTTTGTATCACATGAACTATGTTTTTCTCAATACTATCTAGTTTTCTCATATCTGTTTTGTATCCGCATGCATATCCGCTTATATATCCGCATGTATATCCGTAACCGTATCCGATTTTAGCGGATATGGTTATAAGTTTTTCTTACCGAGGTATATCCGTATCCGTATCCGTATCCGAGATGGGTAAGCGGATATGGATATGGTAAGCATCATATCCGAGCCGTATCCGGACCGAATGCACCCCTAGATATAGTTGTATCACTGAACAAACTTACTATCCTAGAGTTTAGGTGTTGCATGTAAACCCCTCGGAATGATTTATTATTATTATTATTATTTCTGGCACTTCTACCCTTTTGAGGGTCTATCAGCAATTACAGTTGTTACTAACATTGAAATAAAGTCACGAAATCCACCATGTTTGAGCATATGCTTCATGAAATCTTTTAATCCCCAATACAATAGTGGCTTATTTTTTGCTTTGCCATTGTGAACTTTTCATTTATTATTTTTGCCATTATTATTATTATTAGGCTAGATAGCATTTATATACCCTATTGTTTCGCCTACTTTTCACTTATATACCCCAACTTGCATCTGATAGCAAAATTAACCGGAGTGACGACCAGAGGTTGAATCCTAGACTACCCCTTCTTAGAGGTTGAACCCTAGATGACCTTCACCTAACTAAGGGACATACTTGATCTGGATCAGTGTATAACTTGCATGCAATAAGCAGGAAAATTTCATGGACCTCAGAGAAAATGCTCACCGACTTGTGACAGCCCCAATTATTTTAGTATCTTACTTGTGAACTTCACTAATTTTAGAATCACAAGCAAAAGCTACGTTTCGTAAGTTACGCGCTCAATTGATTGCCTGCTTGAAGTAGACTACTTATTTATTCGTTTAAATTTATTTCGTAATTTGAAGTCTCTCGTGTTGTCAAAGGGAGCGCCAATAGATTAGGGTTGCAAGGAAAAGCTAAGAGTAGATTGGTGCTTGTGCTTAGGTGGACGTATATTCAGTCAAGTGCTTTCTGTAGAAAAACACACAGAAAAGAAAAGAAGGCGTTGCATATTTCATGATTAAGAACTTTAATCAGCGTAAATTTATATAAAATCAACGAGCTGTAAAATTAAAACACAAAAAATTATATCATAGTAATGCTCATATCAGCAAGTTGTTCTGATGCATACATAAGAAAAAAAAAACAGAGAAATTTTAGAATAACTCACTTGTGTGCGCAGACTGATCTGATAGTTAGCATATTCAAAAATCAATACAAATAAAATATTAACTTAGTGAAGCATTACGAAAATTAGTATAATCATTAGATTTTTAACTCTAATACTCTAATTGCTTCCTATATTACCTCTATGAACTTTTTTATCCACTTTAATGCGGCTTACTAAGAAAATTGGCGGCTCCTGATAGAGACTGGATAGGAAAAGTCCAAACAAGATGGGGTCAGGTTAGTTGATGAAAATGATCTTTTTTGAGTTGTCTGCTTTATTTGTCCACTCAAATTAGAGAAAGATTTCTATAGGTTGTGTACCCGTGCACCTTTAATATTTCGCTGTCAAATTGAACCTTTTCCTTTTTCTTCTAGCAAAATATTCTAGTTGGTTGTGAACCGGAAATTTAGTATGTGTATCATTTTATCCCTAAACTAGATCTCAAGGAATTTTTTTGTTGTTTATTATCAATTTGTATCTCAAGTTCTAAACCTTGGAGGTACTCAATTTTTATGAGTGTTGTTGTAATTTTAATGAGTTGTTTTCTAAGGGGCTGTTTGTTTGCTAAAAAAAATGAGAAACACGACCCCCCACCCCCCGCACGCGCGCCACATCAGATTTTAAGAAATCCCCCTGTCACGTAGGATTTTGGTTTCAACCAATTTTTAAATCACATGTTTGTTTCGTTTTGTGATTTAAAGAAATAAGGGTGCCACATAGGATGCCACGTCAGATTTATGAGAAAAGTGTCCTCACACAAAAAACCTCTAAAAACACTTGGAAATATCACTTCAATTAATTTTTAATTACTAAAAGCACTATTGAAACAGTGACTGTGAATAAAATAGATTACTTAATTGCTGAAAACACTGTTACTAATGCGGCTAATTTCCATTTTTTTTTATGTTCAAACAAACACAAGAAATGGGAATCGAAACACTGTTACTATTGCAGCTGGATTTGTTTCTTATGTGACATGGCGGTGACGTGACGGTGATTTCATTGCGAAACAAAAAAAATGCGGGAAATGTCTTGAAATCTCTTAGAATGAGTTGAAATGTGAGTTTTCCATTTCCGTTTTTTTCGGAAAACAACCAAGCAGCCTCTAATAGGAAACATATTAGAACTTTCCACATCAGAGTGCATAGTTCCCCACTATTTATGGGGAAATGGAATTCTCAGATTAATTTTTCTTTTCGTGACTCAATATAGAACCACTTGGTCACATACATGTAATTTTGATGAAATTCATATTCTTTCTCAAGGCAAAACTATTTAAATATAAAAAAAATATTATTGTATTTATCTTAGAATGTATTTGTTGATGTCAGCTATCAAACAATGGGTTTATTTATGGATTAAAGTAGAGTTAGGGTTCTCAAACTCCTTCAGATGACTAGCTCTGTAGGTCGTTGTTCTTCCTTGCACACGAAGAACTCGTAAGAGGCCGGAGTTGGGTTCTCTGGTTGTTCCTCCGACGATCAAGTCAGTATATGAATTTGAGTAAGAAAATATGAGATGAAGAAAATCTCAAAGTTGTGTCAAAAGATCAGAGAGCTACCTTCAGCTGCATGACTTCCTTTTATAGAGGATCAAAAGGGCAGATAGATAACTTGAGCCGAGTCCAGGCAGGCGGCTGACTCAGTAGACAGCTGACAGATGTCAGACGCTGGCAAAGATGGGTCATCCAGGTGGCTAGTGCAAAGCGACAGCAGCTGCTTGGTGTTGACTGAGCCTGATGAGTCATAATGACTTTTGGGGCTGGAGTAATGATGATTTTTAACCATGCATTTAATGTGATAGTGACTGGCTGTTGGTAGAGGGCTTGAGAAAGATCGCCTTTCGACTCGGCCTAGCGAGAAGGGATTTGTAGGGATGCCTCTCGAGAAGGGATGACTCCTAGCGAGAAGGGCAAGAAGTACCGCCTCTTCAGTCATTTGGTGGAGGGCCGACTAACACTACCTTCTTACATGGCTACGCGCGTTGCCGGCTAAAACAGTAGGCTCAGTGAGAGTGCTTATAGGATCGATTTGGTGGGTAGGCCCACAAGTACCACCTTTTTAATCGGCCTCGATAGTTGTCGGCTGAGATAGTGTGCCGAGTATGGAGGCTTGTGGGTTCGATGTGATAGGTAGGTAGACAAGTACTACCCTTTCAAGCCAACCGTGTAAGTTGTCAACTCAAGAAAGATTAACACTTAGTTATTTGCAGGTTATAATAGTGGCCCCATTTCATTCGAATTCGGCTGGCGGAGTACGGGTGAAAGTTGAATAAAAAGTTAGATTTTTACCTTCTCGATTTTTGTATCTTTTTTGCTTGCATGTCTCATGCTTTGTTTGAGTCCATGTTTGTTATAGAGTCGAGGTGACTTAGCCGTTATGGTGAATAGGGAGACTTGACCTCATACCTTGTTTATTGAATATGATCGCAAGGTTCTAAAAAGCGTGCCTTGGTCTTATGAACGTGCTAAGGTCTTGCTGTAGACATTTTCCGGTAGAAATATTTTTACTTTTGTTAATTTGAAACACATATTTTTGGGTATAAATCGGTCCTTCGGGTTAAGATGACTCGGCTTCGTGTGTGCGGAGTAGTGCTACTTGACCTCGTGCCTTGGGCATATTCGCGATGACAACAAGGTCTTAGGGTACATGCCTTGGGCTTAGGAGGATGCTAATGTCTTGCTGTAAATATTTTAGGTGCAAATATTTATCTTTATTAATTTAAACCGCGGACCTTTGAGTATCCAACCGTTTTTTGGGTTGAGATGACTCGTTCGTGCCTTGGGTCTACACGCAATGACACCAAGGTCTTAGGGCATGTGCCTTGGGCTTAGAAAGATGTCAAGGTCTTTTAGCTGATGTAGGACAAATTAATATGACTTTGTTTTACCCTAAGTAGGCACCAAGGTTTTTCGAGGCGAAGCCTACCGAGTAGAGGCATGCCTTAGTTTTACCCCGAGAGGGTACCAAGGGCTTTGGTCGATGGCGCGCCTTTGTCTTACCCTTGATAGACCCTAATGCCACTAGGAAAGAACCCTAGAGGGGGGGAGGGTGAATAGGATTTTTGCTAATCTAATCCGATTTTATACCAATTAAAACTAATTAATAAGTTATCCTAACAAATAAGATATGCAACAATTGTATGCAAGGATAATCAATATGAACAAAGGGTAAAATAAACAAACTATAAATGTGATAGGGTAATATACA